CTTTGAACAGTTTTTGAACAGTGTGCGAAAGTTGTGCTATACCAGCGTGTAGGGGTTCATTTCCGGCTAATTTGACCTCGGTGACCACGATTCTGGCATCAGTTTTTCACTGCATGACCTCTGACATGACCGCACTGGTCACCCGAGGGAATTCCATCACTGGTTGCCTACCCGCCAGGCGCTACAGGCTAGTGCTCTGTATGGACCAGCAATTGTACCTACTCGCTAAAAAATTACAGTGGCTTAAACCCACCCTGTACGGCGAGGAGCTTATTGTAATGCTAATGGGAGGGTTTCACATAGAAAAGGTATTCCTCGCTGTGATTGGGCAAATGCTCGAAAAAAGCGGGTGGGTGCACATCGTGGCGTGTTCCGGCGTGACGACAGCTGGATCAGCGGAGGGAGCTGTGAAGGTACAAATAAAATGAACTATTTAAACGTATTTATTCGGCTTATGTATTTCATTCTACAGTTTCTATTTCGTATGATTGTATGTTCAGGTGTCTCATGTACTGCGCACCCGAGTTTTGCATCAGAAAACAGCAGTGGCCTTGCACTCATTGCTACTTGATGCATATGAAGAGCAGCAACCAGAACACGACATGAACTTGGACGAATGGATAGAGAAGACTTCTAAGAATTCCCCCACTTTCTACTTCTGGCTGTTAGTCTTGAATTTGGAAATCCTTCTGCTGTCGTTTGTAAAATCTCAGAGGCAGGGAAATTACTTGCTATACCTAGAGACACTGTCGGAAATGCTCCCCTGGATATTTGTTTTTGATCACCAAAATTATTCAAGGTGGCTACCCATTCACTTGCGAGACCTTCTTGAACTGAAAGAGAAAGCCCCGGATGTACATCAGTTTTTCTGTGACGGTAAGAATATGAAACGTGTTACTTTACGCTGTTTTAGATGCACCGCAAATTAACTTTTTTTTCTCCATTTTACAGGAAAGTTTGTGTTCACTGCCACTGAAAACCCCTTCTCACGGTTGCCAACTGACCAAGCGCACGAACAGAACAATGCTAAAGTGAAGGATGCAGGGGGTGTTGTCGGACTGACACACGATGCTGCAGCACTTAGGCGAGTCATGACTGCTGGGCCCGAAGTCACTAGGCTACTCCACGAGTTTAGGCAAACTACAGGTAGCCACTCAGGCACTGGCAAGCACCACGAGCAGTATGGGGCCTACCAAAGACAGTTTAAAGACCACTGCGTGGCTCTGATTAACACCTTTAAGTCTTATCAAAATCCATTTTGTGAGTTGGGAGCGGACCTAATAGCGCTTGACACACGTGAGAGTGAGGGATCAGACTCAGACATTGTAAAAACGCTGTTCTCTATTGAGAGGACAGGGAGGGATAAGAACATTGACTTCGTTGACAAGCGCATAAGGTCTCAAGCAGTAAGCTTTTACGACCCTATCCCAAAAAGTTGTATAAAAATTTTCGCAGCCAAAAAGAAGCCACTCCATCCCAATCGCTACCAGATACAAATGGCGCAGCTTAAACAGGACAACCAACTGTACTGGCGGCTTTATGTAGCCAGTCTTGCACGGAAACTCGACCTGGACACATTTTTTGAGTATGAAAATCAGCACTCACCTCCTGCTTTGTCTGCCCAAGGGATAATGAGGTCAGGCAACAAAGCTGAACTTGTGAAAATTTTGGAATCCTTTTCTTCTGCTCAAAACCATCCCAGCGAGTGCCAAGGACTTATTTTTGATGGTGCACACCTTGTACACAATGTACCGCCTCGCAAAGGTCTGAAAACCTTCGAGGAGTATATTCAAAAATCAATTGGTGGCGCATGTGCAACAAGCTGCCATGAACGTTCGTTCAGTAGTACGCATTGACTTTGTGTGGGACCTGTATGCAGAGCACAGCATAAAGAACACCGAAAAAAAAGAGCCGTGGGACTGGCGTTCGTAGAAAAGACCTTCCCCTTAAAGGTAGTGATGAGACACTACTGTTTGCATATCTATGTTGATCGCATTATTATCATTAATAAATTCTGCTTACAGGTACAATTCCGAAGGACTGGGCGGACTATCTCAAAAACTCGGAAAACAAAATGGAGCTGTTCCAGTACCTAAGTACGCGGTTCGTCAGCGACATGGAGCGTTATCAAGTGGCCACTAATATTAGGCACACATTTCAAACTCGTGACGTACCATGCATTTGTCTGTGTGATGCACATTGCCTGGCCATGGAGGAGGCAGACCCACGAATCATCACGCATGTCCTAGACATGACAAAAAATGGTGCAAAATCGGTTATAATCAGATCCACTGATGCAGACGTAGTTGTGTTGGCAGTGTCCACGTACCATCGCCTATCCTCTTTAGGCTTGCAGGTAAATGTTGTAAAGTCTTGTTTTCAGCTAGTAAAATTAGCAGTCGTTCTAAATTATTTTTTTAAAAAACTTTAGGAACTGTGGGTACACTATGGTACGGGAACGCACGCCCGTTACATTGCCATCCACTATATCAGTGCTGCCCTTGGACAAAATAAGAGTGAGGCACTGCCAGGCTTTCATGCTTTTACTGGCTGTGACACCACATCTTATTTCTCTGGCTGCGGTAAACCCAAATGCTGGAAGGTGTGGCTGGGCCACCCTGAGCTAACCCACGCATTTAAAAGCCTCAGCAGCCCACGGCTGCACCTGGATGATGAGACCTATGCTGCTCTAGAGAGATTTACGGCTCTCATGTACGACTTTAAGAGCGCCCTAGACAGTGTAATTCTGCTGAGAAAGGATTTAGTTGTTAGTCGGAATCGATCAATATTTTCGATTACACCGAGTCCAGGCTGCCTTCGCCAGCATATACAGAGAGCCCTTTACCAGGCAGGCCACTTGTGGGGCAAAGCCCTCGACGAAAGACCCGAGGGACCCCCTTCCGCAACGGATTTTGGGAGGAAAATAGAGGACGGAAAATTAGTGCCACTCTGGACCACACTACCTGTGTTGTGGGCAAAGTGCAGGGAAGTTGATGTGATGTGTGGTTGCAAAACGGGCTGCTACACACAGAAGTGCAGTTGCCGAGCTGCAAATCTGCCGTGCTGTGCTGGCTGCAAAGGATGCAAGGGAAATTGCTCAAATAGCAGGTAAATTGTCATATTTGTGAAAACAATCAAATTTCGTGTCCCCCCCAAAACAAAAGAAAAAACAACAGAATTCTTTCCTTTTTTAACAGTCAAGAGGAGCAGCATCCAGAAGCCATCAATCTGGACGTTCAGGATAACACCCAAGACGACCCAGACGACCCTTCCGTACCCCATTTGGTGTAGATTTCCATTATGAATTAAAGAGAACTTTTCCCTTTTTCTATATTGTCTTAAAAATGTTTTTTTCTGTTTTTGGAGCGCCTGGCGGGTAGGCAACCAGTGATGGAATTCCCTCGGGTGACCAGTGCGGTCATGTCAGAGGTCACGCAGTGAAAAACTGATGTCAGAATCGTGGTCACCGAGGTCAAATTAGCCGGAAATGAACCCCTACACGCTGGTATAGCACAACTTTCGCACACTGTTCAAAACCTGTTCAAAGATTGAACACCTATCGTACAGGAACATTCGCACGTCACTGTTAGACCCCGTGGGCCTCGTACATGACCTTACGGATCAAAATCATTCAAAGGAGTGCCTATGAAGGCGTGTAAAACATAGTAATGCGTTTTGTACGAAGTGTTCAAAAACTGTTCAATATCTCGGCTCCACACGATTTGCGCGGAATGGGGTGCGGACCAAAAGTTTCTAAATAGCCTTGGGAACCTGTGTGCAAAATTTTGCTTTTACCACGATTTGCAAGGTTTTTCGGTGTGCCTCTTGCACTACTAGATGAAGTGGTTGAGATGGAAAAGGAGCAGGAGGAGGAAACGGAAACGCAAGTTGTTGAGACTGGATATCGGGGAATACAGACAAACATCCAAACTCGACAATTGAGGTAGCTTCTGTTTCATAATGAGCTGGTGATATAAATGAATGTAGTGGGTGTCCTATTGATCACCAACCGCAGCGGGCATTTAAAACACTGTGATTAATAATGGTCAATACACACGCTTATAAACACTTACAGTGTTCAAAATAAATGTTTTCTCTATTTTATTCATGCTTTTCCACGCATTGACCACTCCTTCTGTAGTTTCTGTAGTCGGTGTGGCGCAGTTTGTACAGGGCGGTGCGGTGGCCCTCATTTCACTTGTCACTTGTCATGTTGTCTGCCTGATCGAAATTATTATTTTTGTGTTCAGAAATGGGTAATTTGATTGATTTTGTTAGTGAATTTTATGTACTTTACAATGTTTTCACCTTTACGCTATACCTTTTGTTGTCTTTACAATGTTATTGTAGCCGCTCAACCCAGAGTTCTGCGGAAAAGAGGTGTGAAAGAGGGGTCTTTCTGTTACCATAAAGATGATGGCTTGTTTTATCACCGTAGTTCCAACTACAATGGCACAATATACTTCAAGTGTGTCCGCTATGAAAAGTCCTGTCGCGCCCGTGCCTCATTGACTGTCAATGCTGGTCTTCAAGAGACAGCAAGGTCACCTGAACACGACCATGATCCAGACCCAGAGTACCCTGATGAGGTTGCTCTTCGTCGAGCTATCCTGGAGCGATGCAGATCATTAGAATATGTTTCGTTCCGTGACATAATTGACCAGGAAGGAGTTTGGTAAGTGAATACACTGTGATTTAACGTAAAGCTTTGTGGCAAACAGTTATTGCTGCCTTCAGACTAGATCTAACGTCAACCAACACTCAGCTTTTGGACCATATTACTTCATATGTTTAAGAATCATTCTAAATTTTAAATGTGATTTCCAAATTTTTCTATCTAGCAGTGACAAATCCAAATGACAACTTTTATATCATACTATTCCAAACTTTTCAAAAATGAATTCTTTTGAGTGTTGGAAAATTCTAGACATCCACTCTTAAATACCTTCTTTTGAGAGTAGTTCAGAATAACTCAAATTTCATTGGAATTTTCCTGTAGAACTTTAAAGCTTCACAATGTAAATCTATGTCAGTTAATAATTGAAGTTTGCTCTGCGACAGGTTTGATGTTGAAGTTGCTGGTAAAGTAACTCTCGCACGTATGCGGAATGCAATGCGGAATGCAGATCACATATCGGAGGGGGTGGGAGGGAAAGGGAATTACTCCTCCCAAACCCAACCAAGCAAGCTGTTTCCAAGTAAACCTTTCAACAGCATTGCAATGCCTAGTGAAAATGAATTGGACCGGGCATGTAATAATTTTATCGATGTAAAGTTATGGTTAAAGTATTTTGAAAACAAAAGTTGTCAATACCAGACTCTGATCATAGCAAAACTGCTTTCGTTTCAGGAAGAAATTGTCAAATTGTCGCGCCTGATAGCACAACTACAGAAAAAACGTACCATGTTCGAATGCAGGCGCACAAAGAGGTAAGCACAGCCACTATCATCAGCTCCACACTCGGGCTCGTCTTGGCGCCGAGGTCGCCACGCTCCTCCGGCTGGCTGTGCGAGGAGGGGTGCTAGAAGTAGTGACTCCGGTGACCTCAGTTCATGGCAGCCTGTGCCCCCCCCCCCCTCCGCCTTCCGACGTACTCCTTGGCCTCCGCCATGCTCCACCCGGCTCGGCGAGGGCCAGGAGCGCGCGCTCTACGACACCTTCAACACCTCGATCGAGGTCTTCTTGGCGAGGACCCTGCCGGCGGCGCAGGGCGAGCTCCCGGCGCCATCACCAGCACCACGATCAAGAACTCCTTGGCGTCGAGGTCGTGGCGCCGCTCCACGCTGCCCGCCGCGCCGCCCGCGCGGAATAGCCGGCCTTGGAGGCGTCCAGGGCCAGGGCCGCGCGCGCGCGCCCTCCGACACCATCAGCACCACCATCAAGGTCTCCGTGGCGTCGAGGTTGTCGCAAGCCTCTGGCCGGGCGAAGCGTGTACGGGCGAAGCAGTGACCTCTCTGACCTCGAATAGCTAATAGCTGTCTTCCACTGCCCCCTCCCTCTCCCCCTCCACCCTCCCCTCTCCCTCTCCCCCTCCGACTTTTGTCATTTAAAAAAAAAATAGGTGCTTTTTCAAATTTTGTTATGAAGTGAACAAAATATTACTTTGAAATACAATACAACTATATCAAGAGGTCTTCATTTCTTGAGCAACTAAACCATGCTTAAGTTTCACACAGTATCTTGAACAATGTGTGTAGACGTGGTGAGGTTCTGGAGAGAGGAGTTCATCTGGACTTATACACTCATATTTGTTGTCACCGTCTTGTAGCTCAAAG